TTTAATTTATAGTAACAATATAAGATTAATTTGTTGTTTTATATTTCAAGATTTGTAATCAAGCGATCATTGATATACGGCCTTCATTCTAGTTGTGCAACCTGAACTGCCACTGTCCCTTCCAAATTGGTCAACTGAAGAAGAAAGACAGGCAAATTCAGGAATTCTTTTGAGAAGATTTAGGCAGTTTTTAGTATACCTATAGACTTTGCCGTACAAAAGAGACTTTCCTCAACAATTTTTTTAGTGTAATTTCCATGGAAGACACTGGAGATTGGAGCAAGACCCAATCCATGAATTTGTACATTCTCCACCACCAATGGAGCTTCCTTCACCGTCACAACACTGGCAAACCATCCCAAGAGTAGAAAAAGCCTTCGAGTGTTTCACTGATCAATTTTAAAATTCACTTGATTACAACAAACAAAAAATGAACAAACCCCACAAATGAATTAAAGGAAAGGCCAAAAAAAAAACAGACATAATGAAGTCGAGGTATGAAATTGGCTAGACCCCTTGATCAATTTTAAGAATTAACTCGATTAATATAAAACGAACAAGACCCACAATTGAATTAAAGAGAAGGCAAAGAAAATAGACACAACTAAGTCGAGGTGTCAAATTGATCGGACCAATACAAAATTATCCAAGTGAGTCTTATTCTTACCTTGTTGAGGAGATAAGAAGGGGGCCGGCACTGCCCTGGCTCGAGTGCTGCTGCTTTCTTGATATGCAAAACTGATTATAGACAAAAGCAAAACAAAAAATGGAATTGGCTTAAACAAACCCATTTATGGATGTTCCTTTTGGTTTAACGTAATTAATAGTTTTAGGCATTCCGAACAGATTATGATCTTTATATTATAGTTGATGGGTCATTGTATAATCTAGAAAGATGTCTCTTTCTTAAATAATAATGAATTCCCCCTTCTAGAATAGGGGGCAGACAGACACCCCCCCATGTCCCACCCGACGCTCTAACCATCCTATGAGACGTGGTTTGAATCTTCCTCTACATTTATTGGTGTACTCAAGAGTTAAAATAGGGATGTCACAAAGATCGGATCGATAGATGCTGAAATTCGACGTGATATGTAACTTTTCACAACTGGTGTAGAATCACTCCTTACATGAGGATCAATAACACTCGTTTTAAATGAACACATGGCCGGTTTCAAGCCATTCAGCCTAACAAATGGATTTTAGGCTATGTTTGATAGCCCATTTTTTCCATGGAATGGAAATGGTTGTTTGATAGGTTTTATTTGTCATGGAAAATTAATTCCACACACCCCCCACACGTGCACCAATTGCCCAAAATGAAGGAAACCATTTTCCCACCATTCCATTTTATTTTATTTTTTTTTGTTGGCAATGGACACAAATTTTATCANAAAAAAAAAAATTCTCTTTAATTGATAATTTCCATAAAAAACAATGTCAAAAGAACATCAAAAGATCCAAAATTTAAATATTCTCCACGTGGAAAATTATACTAATCAAACACAATTAATTGACAATTCCCCAAAAAACAATTCTTGGCAATTCAATTTCTTGAAATTCATTTTCTTTCCACCCAAATTCAACTTTTACAATCAAACGGACCCTAGAGTTTTTCAATTCAAAATTTTATGTTCGGCCTCTAATAAGATTTCATTTTCGAACCAAAAAAATAAATAAAATTATTTTCTGATTTATACCACAATTTTGAATCATTAATTCGATTTTAAAGGTATTTTGTACGATTAAATAAAATTCTCAATCCAATTAAAAATAATATAGACCTGAAGGCTTCATGGAATCTTCTTGTGCCTGGGAGAATAGAATTGATAAGGCTTCGTGGAATTTGCTACGAAAAGTAGGGTAGTTTTTGTTAGTACCCAACCTGTCTCGCAGAATAGTTGAAGAATCCTCTAGAAAAGCCACAATTTTCCATTTGATGAATTTTCATGGAACTGGGGTTCAACTGAAGTATAAATGAAGGTCACAAGTCTGATTGACAATTTGGTCGTGAATAAAATAAAAATTGTAATATTATGAAAGTGAAGAAAAGTAACTGTGTGACGCTTCAAAAAATCGTAGCATTTAAGATTTAATTTCGATAAAAATGCAGAAGGAAAACCGGGATTAAAATAAATTATTGAGGGGCTAAATTGAAAATTTATAATTCATTATGGGACTTGATTGAATGGAAGATGGAAAAGTTGGGTTGAGATCAGAAAGTTTGAAAATTAAAGTTTATGCCTCTTTTCAACCCACATCTTTGAGGCTTTTGTAGGACTTGTGTAATCGTTAAAATTTTATGATTCTAAGATGGTTGCGAAGTACACTAGGTGACCTACGAAATGCGACCCAATTTGTAAATATTCGACTAAGATACCAGCCTCAAGATAGACCGCAAAAAAGTACTCGAAACTCGAAATCTAGAGGCTCATGACATATCTAGCAAATTAGACAAAACTCCCTAACTGAATCAAAACGGAATTAAGCTGAGCGGTTCTTCTTATATTAAATATCTGAATGGGTATTTGAAATTTTGAATCGAGAACTGACAGGTTCATTTCGGTTCGATTCTCGATTCTGGTCCAAAAATCGAAGAACCGAATAAAAATCCAATCTGTCTCATCTTTTTAAATTTTTTTTTATCTTAAATAAGTCAAATTATTTTATTTTTTTCTAAATAAATTTGCTAACTAACTAGTTTAGAACAAACTCAAAATATGATTTCACTATTTCTAATTCCAACTAAGCCCAGCTTAATAAATTGACCTAAATTTTACTCAAATCTCTTAATCTACCATAGTGCAATTTCTGTCGTTCTATTATTGTGAACTCGCTATCTTCATCTTCATATAATTTTAACAGTCAAATTTATGAAGAACTCGACAAAGAGAGAAGCAAAAGATATCCCGAAATTGGACTACATTATTTTGCAAGGGTTAAGATTGAAAATATCATAATCGAATTATTGTAGCGTTGTTGTAAATATAAAAAAAATAATTATTGTATGGAACTTGGGAATCGAACCGAATCGAATAGAATCGAATTTGAACGGTTCCATAATTAAAATTGGACCTAACGATTTCACTTATTAAATACCCGAAAATTCGAATTCGGTTCGATTCTCTTTAGAATCGAACGAATTTCTCTTTAGAATCGAACGAATCAGACAATGTCCAACCTTACAAACATAGTTGAGTAACCATTTTTAGGAAGGTCGTATGACCTATGTGGTCTCCCGTTTTATGCAATTCAAAATGTGTAGCGAAGCTTTTCGTAAGCTCTTCAAGATGCGATAAGATGCATAAAAAAATAGACCCCCCAAAAAAACATGAAATCCACACAAACCAAAATCTTGAAGTTAGTTGATGGATGGTTGTGCTGTCTGGTGAAACCGGATGATTAGCACTTATCAGCTACTACCACCTTCTAAGGCATTACCCGAACCAGATATGCATTGCAAAATCAAAAAACCTAGACAAAGATTTGTTTTCTATTTGGTTCATATTACATAAGTTGAGCCTTGGAGACTTGTATATAGAGGTTTTAAGACTCGACTAAATAAGGAATATGTCCACTCTAATGGTTTCAGCTTTTACCTTTTAGATTAGGTTGTGCTGCTGCTAAAAATTTTACCTTTGCAGAACAGAACGTGAAAGGCCTAAGGGGTAGGCAAGACCTCGAATAAATGAACATAAATGGCTAGGCAGAGGGGCGGAGCCCCATATGGTCCAGTGCTTGCAGTGAACTTTGGGCTCAGGTCTTTGAGAGCCCCATATTTGGAATGCAATGGTAGGATGTACCAAAGTTTGTTGAATTACTTTGTTAAAACTTGTCTGCACTTGCCTATTTGTCGAATTAGTATGCTAAAGATAAGTGTAATAGACACTTGCAATATGACTAGTTAAAGTTTTATCTTTTCATATTCGACGTGATGCATCTATGAATTGACAGAGTTTATATGTAATAACGAGATATTCAAGTTTTTTTTTGTAAGATAAAAAGACAAATACATTCTAGTATCAAAATTCATTATTATTCTTTTTTTGAATAAGATTCTACAAGATAAAAAGGCAATACATCCTAACATAGAAATTCAATTTTTTTCAATGAGATAATTTTTGAGGATTGATAATAAAGTTATTGTACAACGATAAAACTCATAAAAAACAAGTGCAACCTATATATAAACTATGTCATTTTTAGTATTTTGTAATATTGTTTTATCTTTATCGTTATTAAAAAGTTTGACGTCTATTAAATTGTGTCTGCACTGAACAAATTTTCTAGCTCCGCCCCTAGCTAGGCTTATATATATATATAATGAAAAATTTAGAAAATGTTACATAAGGTATATATAAGGTGTATTTTTTAAGTTTTCCTTAATTATAATATGCATATAATTTTATTAAATTTGGAATAGATTAGATGATATAGTTATTTTATTGTATACTTATAATTCTGTAATTTACCATTTTAAGCTAGACTTGTATATGAAAACACTCATATTCTTCATTTAATATAATTTGATTATAAGTAGACAAGAAATTACCGTGCACATTTCAATCTAACAAGGGTTGGAAATTAATTCGACGTGGCGACATTAGAATAATTGAAAAGGTCTGGAATTCCGAATAAAAATTTGAGGATATCTTCGTAATCTTAGATTGGATTAAAATTTGAGGATATCTTCGGAGAATAACAATTTTCTATTTAATTTTTGTACTTCAAAAACTCAAACCATCTCATTTATTGCTACTCGTTCCCTCCACTTGATCGCTATAACACCAAACTTGTCGACTACAAAAGTGATTGAAAATGAGCAACAAGTTTATTTTACTATTATGAAATATAGGGATTTTTATTCTCTTTTAAATGAAATCTTCATCGACACCAAATACATGATAATTTAATGATTAAATTGGATGAAACTGGAAAGAAAAATCAAATACTCAGCGATTTTAAGTATAAAATGAAGATGGCGTGTTTCATAATTTTTTTTCTTATTTACAAGACTGGACAAGCTTGTTCAAATTTCTTTATACGTACCACTACCAATGTATCCAATCTATGTACATGATATAGAATAAATCAATTAATAGGGGAACCGGGTTCTACAATTTTTCTTCCAGTAGCCCGGATGTAACAAAAAACCGCCACTAAAAATGCAGTGGCTAAACCCCCAAGAATAACTCCACCACCGGCAACTGACTTGTCAATTGAATGGTGGTGGTGGTGGTGGTGGCTGATTTTGATCTCCTCTACTTGTGAAGTTCCATTCTCTTGGCCGGAGGAACTAACTTCTCTTGAAAACGGCATGTTTTCTTTTGTTTTTGGTGGCTCAGATGGGCTCAAACTTGGTGCAGCAAGTGACTTCAAGATTGTGTGGTGGTGTTTTCCGAGTTTACGTGCCGCCGTAGGTGGTTGTTCTATGCCGTCTGAAGCCGGAGGGTTAGCATACACTGGCCAATGGCCATTATCAGCCATTGTTAAGTGAAGATAGTTGTTGGACAAGACAAGGCATACTATAAGAAACCTAGACATTATGAATGGATTAATGAATATAGGATCTTTTGTGTTTCCCAAATGTTGTTGTTTAGGCATTGCCTTACAATCTATATATAGAGGTTGTTGATAATATAACTCTTGTCTGACCGCCATTGTTAGGAGTGGAATTCATTTTCCATTTTATGACAACGTATGTTTTAGTCGAAAAATATGACATGATATCATAGCAGACAAAAGTTTCAAGCACAGGTTCTATTACTGGCTATTTCTGAAAAATCATACACGTAGATGGAGGCCCCTAAATAGTTTGCACATAAAAAACGTATTGAAGACATAATTTGATTACAGAAATGATTTAAATTTTTAGACAAGAAGATTCGTAGGTCTAAAATATCATAGCCATGTAGCTTGACGGAAGGTTCCCTTTGTTGGATTTCAAGAATTGTTTATACAATTTGTTAGCAGGGTTGTCTGCAGGATGGCGGAAATCAACAGAAATACACATGGAAACAATAGAAAACATCTGGAATTTCAATTAAGGGGACGTGATCTCTACTTTGTAAAAATTAAATTGTAATGCATTTATGTTGAAGTCATAGAATATTGGATAAATAACTTTGACAAGTGTAATGACAGAGGTGTAGATGATAACAGATGATTTGATAGAAAAATTGATTATATGTTAAACAATTCAATGATAGAATATCACGTGACATTATATCAATATTTCTATCAACTTATTTGTCACTATATCATGATTGATTTTTTAACCACACGTCTCCCTATTAATTACATTGACTGATTTGAAAAAGAATGATGCCAATCTTATAGGAAACAATAGTTGTTTCGAACATTTTATTTAGAATTTTTTTTGTCAGAAACTGTTTCTTACATTTTGAAACCCTAATTGCAGTAGGTAAGTGGTTATTATTAAACATTAATTGTTAATTATTTGCTGGCATTTTTCTTCTGTAATGATCAAAACCAACAGAGTTGCATGTATGCTTATATGGCTGAAACCATTTGTACAGAAAAATGATCACATAATTTCACCAGAAATCTCACATGGAGGTGGATCCCATTGTGAATAAAATATTGCAAAAATGCGAACCCCACCTCTGTTGTGTGTGGTCTGATGGAATTCTGTGTGCACATTATTCTGTGCACGCAGCAAGGTTCATGCTTATATTGTCAACCACTGGAATACTGAAGAAGGAAACAACAGGGCAATTATGCTCAATTCCACTAGAGAAACAGAAATAACAAGAGAGATTATAACCTTCATTAAGCTTTGAGAAATCACTACTTGGACCTATTTTTTCTTCCACCGATTTTTACTCTTTTTTGGTGGTACCATTTATGAGAGGCTAGATAAATAGATGCTTGTTATTTTTTTTGGATACTAATTTTGAATGTTTTAAAAATTAGCAAAATCGGGATAGTATATTTTAATCGAATTTCTCAACCCAGAAAATCGATGAATTTTAACAATTTCTCAAATTTTCTTCCAATTTTATAATCTACAAAATAATTATTTGAAACTCATATACTTATTTCAAAAGTAACTTATAAATAAAAATACAATGATTAAAAAAAATTATAAACAAAAAATACATTATAATTAAGAAAATTACCTATATGTAAAAAAATTTGACATTTTAAAAAAAATAATATTAATAAGACAATAGGTTACTTATAATATAAAAAATTACATATAAATAAAAATTCACTTATTATAAAAAATATTTTAAAATATAAAAATAAATTATACATATAAGTAAAAAATTACTTTAAAATAAAAAAAATTAATTATAAATAAATATTTCACTTTTTAAGTTAAAAACTAATTTATATAAAAATTACTTATAAATAAAAAATCACTTAGAAGTAAAAATTTCATGCAACAAATTATAAATTGAATTTCACTAAGGGGTATATATATAATTTTATTCTTTTAAAAAACTTCCAAAAGCACTTATAATTAAGGGAAAGTTGTAATAGCGGTACCAAATCTTTCATTTAGTAACAGATTTTATTCAAATCTTTCATTTGTACTACCCATGGTACCAAACCTTTCAAAAACTTGCAGCCGGAGTTCAATTTAACAAAAACTGCTAGTTTGACCGAAGAATTGACTTTGACCATAATTTTGAACTAATTTTACAAGGTTAAAATGATAAATTTACATTTTTCAACAAAAAAACAATTATAATATATTAATAATTAAATAAGAAAAATCGCACACACTACCCACCACCGTCCCCAAACCTCTTACCCTGAAACCATCAGCGGCTATCAGCGCCACGGCCACCACAACCCCACATCGATGCCACCACTGCATCACTCACCAATAGCACAAAAACCCCTCCCAGAAACCCCACTTGTGCTATTTCATCTTTCGGCGACCCTACTGCTCCATCTATCAAAATCTCAAACGCACAATATAAATCTCACTCTCAATTTGAAAATTGAAAAAAGACCTTTGTAGTATCAATAAAATTGGTTGTTACCGTAATTTTTTTAAAAAATGTTGACTCAAAATTTACTAGTTTAACGACAAAGAAAGCTCGAGAATCAACGACATCGTCGCGAAATCTCTTTCCACTACTCTAGGCATCGTCCATTTTCATAAACCCTCATGTCCCTTGCTCCAAGCTCAACCCCAACGGAAACTCTCCACTAACTGCACCTCCAAGTCGAACTCCATAGTCACCGTCGACACCAATAAGGTGCGCAAGCTATTGCCAAAGTTTAGTTGCAGCATCATTGGAGCCCGAGGTGCAATGTCGACTGTCCCTCCATTAGCCCAGTAACCCCAAAATCTGATCCAGAAAGTCGTGTAGGGTGGGTAGGTTGGGGTTGAGTGGAAAAGATGTAGTGCTTTTTTTCTTTTTCATTTTAATTATTTTATTATAGAAAATGTAAATTTACCATTTTAACTTTGTAAAATTAGTCAAAATTATGATTAAGGTCAATACTTCAATTAACTAACGGTCAAACTAACAGTTTTTGTTAAATTGAACTCCAACAGCAAGTTTTTGAAATGTTTGATACTGTGGATGATACAAATGAAAGGTTCGGTATGACTAATGCAATTATCCCTATAATTAACATCTCTCAAGCATTAGTGATTATATTTTAAAAATTGCTACTAAAAACAACAAAAGCAAGACCCCCCTCATAAGCAATAAATGCCTAAAAGCAACGTAACTTGAAAAAGAAAAAAAAAACTACCCCAAAGACTCCTAATCAGGCCCTAAAGCATATTTAATAAGTGCTATTACTTTTCATTTTCAAAAATGTCTAGACGTGTTATTTTTTATATTTAAGTATCAAAGGTTATTTTAGAAGCAATTTTACAATAACATCAAAGTAAATTACTTATTTTCAACTTTACCCAATAAAAAAATACACGTTTAAAACTTACTCGAAAAATTAAAAAAAAAAAAANAAAAAAAAAATACATGTTTAAAACTTACTCGAAAAAATAAAAAAAAAAAAAAAAAACCAGAATTCTAAAGCATACCCAAACATGATTAACAAAGCTTATTTACTGAGCTTCTTATCAAGAAAATTTGTGAGCTTGAACAAAACACACAGCATGATATAAACTTCACTCGATCAAGAACATTACAATCCTCAAAACGTGTAAATTAAGTAGCTAAGAAGTTTCCCCATTGTAATGTGAGGGTAGATATATAGAACTACATGGAGGAGAAGTGATTATGGATAATCCCTCTATAAGAAAACACACTCAGTCAAAGCCTTGGGTCAATCCAGAGGCCCATCATGCTGGAAAAGGCTTTTCACACTCAGATCAAGAGCTTCTCAATGGCATCCTGTATTTCACAGGATAATTTTTGTAAATGAATGTAAGTATCAATTGAAATTGCTGTAATTATAAACAAAAATAGAGCCATCACAAAGTTTACCTTCAATTGTAGTATTTGAGTTCTCAACTGGCTTCCCTCATTGCTTGTCACAGAACAAGCAATAACTGGTCTGGTCACTCCACATGCTCGACCAAGAGCTTGTTTTGATGGAACAAAAACATAGGGCACGTTCTGCAATTATAAGCAAAAAAGTTAGCTGATGTCAAGTTATTGAGAAACTACATTCAGTTTGACCAACAAATATTAAATCTGAGTAACAATCGGAAGCAAATATGTTTTCACATAATATTCTCTTTCTTAGTTAAAGAATATGCACATAATATTATGAACATTGGGAAATGGCAAATAATGCGTCTACTTAAAAGAGGCAAATTATGAGCCATTAACGAGCACAAACCCACGTGCCATTAATGCTATAGTTAGCAAGTGCAAATGGTGATCCAATTACACCCATCTAAATTAGCAAGTCTAAACAAGTTGCCCAACCAACTCATTTATCATTAGCTCAAAAAAACAAATAAATACGAAAAAACCAAGAAAAAGAAGGGGAAAAAACTGATTCCACACAAGACCTCATAACGCTCATCTCAATGGACATAAAACAGCTCAGAATTTGTCAAGACCGAACACCACGTGACCACAACAACCACAATGCCACATTCCCTACCCACTGTCCCTCATCACACCTCTGGTCCATTGCTGACTGATTCAGAATATCAAAACCTCCCTGACTTCCCTCTACCCCCAACCCAAAACGAACCCCCAACTCAATAGTCAAATTGTCCAGTGGCCTTCCCTCCTCACTTCTCTGACACCTTCACTGGAAGTTGCTTACAATACCCATTAAAAAATACCATTCATCTCAATTCCTCCTTTCACTGCCCGAATTCTATGTGGTTAGACGAATCTGAATTGGAGAAGAGAGTAAAACCATTCTCAATAGCAATTCACAGTTAATGATACCAATCCATAGTTAAACAGCTCTCCGTAAAAAAGACAGCATGAGTTGAAATTCCTGACCAAAATAATCCAGTTTTCCCTTTTTGTGTCAATTGTGTCTTTCTCTACTCTAAAACAAACTCTCTCAATCAATACAAATACATACACACCTATGCTTCAAATTATAAATGAAACTAATGATTTCAGTAATTTAATAGTCTATCAGATTCGAAAAGTGGAACTTGCACAAGTAGTGCACTAGTTCACTATTGATCAAATTTATTGTAGAATTCTTGGGTCCTAAACTATTGATTTTACTTTAGTTTTGACATGGCGTTAATATGTTAGACAATGAAAGTATATTAGTTCTTATAACATACATAATATTTTATTCTGGATTATCATCTCAAATGTTTGATCCCAGAATCACATATACTTCACAAACTTCTTGAACATATATAAACGACACAGGCTTCTTGCTCCATTTTTAGCAACTTCTACATATGAACACATTATATCAAACTTTCCTCCTAACTAAGAACCAAAAAATTTAGTTTTGATGCTTAGTCTGCTGATAAATATCAATTCCATTACCATTATTATAGGAATAAACTTAACTATGAGAAACTCTATATGATTCATTTATTGAAAACCAATCACTTCTAGATAGAAACATTACCTTATCTTCAGCGAGAAGTGGAAGGTGAAGAAGTATTTCGAGGGGTTCAGTGTCTGCAGCCATGACGACAAATTCTGAAATTCCTCTATTCAGTGTCTTGGTTGCTGCGACAATTATTTCATTCAATAAAAATCCCCAAATCTCAAGATAATAGAGAACAAACTTGTACACACACACACACACACACATATACATTACTGCAAAATAATAGAAGGAAGTAATTCAACCTTCATTAGCACCCTTTTTGAGTTGTTTGTAGTTGGCAGCCTGTTGAACCAAGTCCATGATAGTGATCGTCAGCTGGGCATCTGCCAGTGGATATGCTTTTGGGTTCACGGCTTCTCCAGTCTACATATACATCAAATAAAAACGTATTCATTTTCAACGAAATACAGAAAAGATAAGTATAAAGTTAGGTCGTGAAGAATTAAGAGTTCAATTGGAAGGAAAGCGAGGGAGGGAAGGTTACCATGGCGACAGACGGTTGAGAGCAAATGCGGAGGCGTGAAGAATAGGTTTTGAGAAGACTAAAATTTGGGGGAGAGAGCGGGGTTTAAAGGCAGAGGCGAAAGAAGTTGCGACGCAAAATTAGGGTTTTGGCCATTTGGGTAAGATTTGGTGGTGTTTGGTGACAGTTTTCTAAATCGAAAATTGGAGTATACTGGTATTTGGACATAAACAGATAACAATTACATGGTCACTGAAGTTTTAAGTAATTCAGAGTGTGTTTGGTAGGGA